TTAAGAATGGTGCAGTAAATTCAGTTATGTTGTTCTTTTCACCCTTGTCTCTATTTTTTTCAGATCTGTTTTTGTTCCCAGACAATCTAAATGCCCTTTTATCTAAAACAGAAAATGTTACAATCCTTCTGTTTGTAGCCTTATACTTAACAGCAACCTTATCCTCATAAAGCAGAGCATGCACTTGATAGCCTGATAAGAAAAAAGTTTCACTTGCAAGACACAAAGGAAACAAATGAAAAATAAAAATAAAAATAAGAACTACTGTGAAACAAAAAGCCTCTGCGTAACAATAATAATAAAAAAAATCTCCCCTCCTATCATCACTAATTTGCTGGTTAATGCTGTCAGCTGAGAGGCCAAGGAAACAAAGAATAGAATTACCCTCTCAATCCAGGTGCTACCTCCAGGGCATGACAAACATGTTGGCAGAAGAGTGAGGAAACTTGCCCTAGTGCTCCTGGGCTATGCCTAGGGATGTCTTTTTTTTTTTCCCCCCCCTCTCCCTCCCCCCCCCACTTCTCTCATAAATTTACTAAAAATCGCATAAGAAGAAAAAATGATGAAACATCTTGACAGTCTCTTTTTAAGTTTGTCAAAGATTTAACTGACTATTAGAAGTGCAGCAAGCCTGTCAAGGTGTAGATGGCTGTGTGCCTGAAAACACTTACAAGCTGTCCATTACTACTTATAATCCAGCCCCAGGCTGGATTAATTTGTGTGATGTTAAAAAGCCCTTCCAGCTATCCAAAGGTGTCAAAGTAGGCTAGCATAGACAGAGTACTTGGGAATACAGCCATAGACATTGCACTGAGGGAATACAACCAGGTGTCCACTCTCTTAACCTTATACAAGCTTTTCTACAATAAATCCTAAATCCTGACCTCCTATGTAGAATAAGTCAAGTTAGAACAGGCTATACAGATGGTGGGAAGAAGTTTTCCCAGACTTTGAGCAGATCATACTAGGGCTGCTAGTTTTGATACCTATAACTGTTAACAGCTCAGGTACAAAATACTTCCACTTATTTCAAAAATAAAAAGGGACATCTTCTTGAAGTCCAAAACAGAGTGAGATTATTAGTTACTATTATATTTAGGACTATTCCTCCTTTTTCTTTTCATATACCTTAGATTTTTTAGGCACCTTGTAATAACAATAGGAAAACTATATGCCAGAGTTACTGCCCATATTAAAACACTTGGATGAGCACCACAAAACTAATTTTTACAAATAGGGGAATCATGCACTTAAAATATAGACAAGCATGCTGACAGTGACACTCCATAACATTTTTTCACCTCTCAGGTACAGATATACACTACAAAATGACTATAAAGTCACGTATATTTTAATATCATGTTCTTCCAAAAACTTATCTTAGGATATCTTATGAAAATAATATATCCTATTAAGGAGTATAAAAATAAGTTTTACCTTATTTTTTATCTTACTAGCTTCTAGTACTGTTAATAGCAAACATTTTCAAAACATGAGCTAAAAAAAAAAAAAAAAAGTTAAAAATTATAAGATTTTTATACTATTTATTCCTCAGATTTCAGGGCTGCAATCATATAATATCATATATATATAGATATATTTAAATAGAAAATCTAGGATTCTCATACATTTTTTTTCATGATATCACTTGGGACCATAAGTAAAAAAATATGAAGTATTATGAAACTCATACAATTAATAATAACAGAATTGGCAAAAGAGGCTTATGTTTCAGGAAATAAAATAGGGTTGCTAAACTACCTTTCTAGAAAGAAGTGCAAAAGTAAGAGATGTTCAAGTAGTCATCATTGTTCAAAATGTTATCATTGTTCAAAATGAAAACATTTTAATAAATGAAGAAAAATGCACACATAGACACTTCTTGCTTGTAAAGAAAAAGCCTTGACACTGGTCAACAACTGTTCAGCAAAAGCCATAAGATCTGTATTCTATCACTGATTTAGTCACAAATTTAATATACAGCAACATAAGTACTGCTACAAAGAAAAACTTTGCGCCCACCAGAAGCAGTACAGGGAACAAAAAACGATTTTAGGCACTGTAATGTTTCCTGTTAGACTCCAAACATATGCACACTACCTGATCCAGAAGGAGGAATTTCAGTGCTAGAGGTTCTCAGCAATAAAAGGCAGAGAAAGAAGATCCTAGACTGCACTTCCTAACATGAGATGCACAACTAACATTGTAAAAGTTACCAGAGAAATAGTTGTTCCTTGATGCTTTTTTGGACAACAAACTTTTGTTTGTTTGTCTATTGCCTAAGCAGACATCTCCATAGCCTTAAAAACAGAGCAGAGTGTGGTTGTGGAATCCAGCTTTTGAGTCACATTCTGTTACAGAACCAGAGACTAATTATACCTCCATGGTCTGGGAATAGGAGGAAGAGAAGAACTGAATAGCTTTAAAACAACATGGCCAAAGTAGTGTGAGTGAGAAATACAAATACCACAGACAAGAGGCAATAGAATTACATCAACAGTTAAGACTGATTTTACATATTGCTCTCCTGAAATCAGGCACTTCAATTCCATCTTAGAAGTATTTCATTCTTCTATCTAAATACTTCAGAAGTTTTGGTCTAGAGGCTGTGCCCTATGACCACATGATGTTTGGCCACCTCTTCTATAAAATAAAACATATGTCTATATATAATGCTTGTTTACTTAATATGGTGCAATTTGGGGTTTTGCAGTACTGAGAGGCTGCCAAGTACAAGAAATATCCAACTAACTGTATACACACGCAAAAAGGTGTAAGAGCTAGTGTAAAAGGAAGGTTCAAAAAAGAAGCTGAAGAAAAGAGAGAGAGAACAAGGTTTCAGAAAGTTTAAATGCAGGGATAAAGTGTGCTGAATTACCATAAGTCTATCTCAGTATTTATTTGGTTGCTTACCTTCATTCACTATCTGCCCCTAAAGGGTACATTATTCTAGAAAACTGCAGATATTTTGCAACAGTATAAGCATCATACACATTGATTTTCAGTAATCAATCTTATCAAGGCTTTTTCACTGTGTTCATTAACTTCACTGAAGATGGCAGGACATGAAAATTACTGGAGGGTATAATCAACGTGGCTCCAAAACAAAGAATGAAAACTAACACTGATACAGGTCGAATTATGCTAGATTGATAAAACTGGAAATAACCATAGTCATGATGGAAACAAAACAGCTTATAAACATGATTATTTATTTTTTGGGAACTAGTGTTCAACTTTTGTGTTATTTAGCCATTATCATGTTGGAAGACGAGAGCACTATGCAGAGGTGGCTATGCTTGTGGAACTATGCTTCTGAATCTATTGTCCACTGCATTGGAGTTTAGTTTATTTAATCTACCAAAAGTAAGCTACAACAAACATTCAAAATAAATAGTAATAAATAAGTAAATAGATAAAAGATCCTTATGTTAAAGAAAAATAAAAAATAAGAATAAGGAAAAGAAAAGAAAATAAAAAAACACGATTATAAACCATGAGAGGAGTGCATTTATTCTGGAAATTAGTGTAGAACAGCAACCATTAGCAAAAATCACATTTGGAACACACCACTGATAAGCAGACTATTTTAAAAGATGACATCAATAATTATATGATAATATTTATGTAACACAACATTTGTGTCAAGGGGACATAACTCAATTACTAGTTTGTTATTACATTTAATGTTCATAAGATAGCTAATGCCTTAGTTAAAATTATACTAACTCTTTTACGAGTTATCTATCTTTATTTCCTTCTTTAGTCTAGTCCATTTTTTGTAGAATTTGGGTGTTGCAAATAGCCTTTCTTGTACTTCTGATTATTCCTATGATTTCCAAGAATGATTTACTGAAGAAGTATATGCAGGTAAGAAAATGTTCAATCCTTATTAAATCATAAAAACAACAAAACCACCGTTGATTTTGGGTTACATTTTTAAGGAATTAACAAACTAGCAGACTATTAACAGACTATTCTAGTGATATCCTAAAAATCAAAAGTTGATCTTATTTCTAAATATTTCTACTTTTAGCTCACTATATAGTGTAGGGGAAAAATATGAAAATTACTAGTTTGAAGTGTTCTAATGAAGGACAGAACTCCCATTTCTGTCCATTCACAGTTCTGGTAATGCAGCATGTTCTGTTGTTTTCCACTCATACTACAACAAGCTCTTGGTTGAGATTATCAAGGGAGGGTACATCACATCTTAGGAACAGTTCTGAAGTAGCTCAGCCTTCAGCACAGGTAACTGAGATGCTAGTTTGCAACTGGTATGGAAATCACAGCAAGTAAGTCACAGTTAGTTTCAGAGTCCTTCATGTCATATCTGTGCTCCAGGTAATGAACATTCCGCCTCCTTCAATTTATTAGTCATTTTACTGGATCTGGCTGGGATGTTAACTTCCCCTGCCCATACAGTGCCCATACAGTGCAGTGCTCTGCACTTGTAGCTAGAACAGCAGAGGCATCACACCGGTGTTGTGTCTTCTGCTGAGCAGTGCTGGCACAGCATCAGGACTCTCTCTAACTCTCCTAAGGGGTGGGCAAAAAAGCAAGAAAGGAACATCATCAGGGCAACTGACCTAAACCAACCAAAGAGATATTCCATACCATATGATGTCACACTCAGCAACAAAAGGTGGAAAAAGGAAGAAGAGGGGAAGGGTGGGCTCTCATTGTGAAAATCTCGGTCCTCCTCCCAAACACTGGCTACGTGCGTTGAGGCCCTGCTTCAAGGATGTGGTCAAGTATCACTCATTTATGGAGAGTAGAGAGTAATTTCTTTCCTCTGCACTTCCACACAGCCTTTACTTGTTTTGTTTTCCCTTCCCTCATCCCTTTTCCCATCCCCCTTTTTTCTCTTTAGTTAAATTATTTAATTAATAATCTTTTCTTAATAATTATTTTTTTTTCCTTTAATTAAATTATCCTTATCTCAACCTGTGAGTTGTTCTTTCCTTTACTTCTTCCCCTCCTCATTTAAGCAGGGGGAGTGAGAAAGAAGTTGTGGTGGAGTTCAGCTGTCTAGCACGGTAAAATCACAGCATTTGTTTTGTTGCTTTTGCATCTGCAGTTGCCAAAGAGGGACTGTACATCCAGATTACCAGTCATGCTTAAAGGTACTTTGTTTCTTCCCTTTTGGTCTTTGGTCTGCATGGTTTTTACTTGTTGTTGAAACTTCTTTGTCAGTTAAGACAGTATTGTCATGAATTCATCAGCCATACTGCATAGCACAGATAGCGTGGAGGCCTTCTAACAACTTTTAACAGATAAGGAGCAAGCACATTCTGCTATCTTCTGATCTCACCAGTTTCCTACAAGGTAGCAGAGATAGGACCATAATAACAACAGGTTTTGGTCATATCTGAAGCATGGAAACTGTATAAGTCTGGGTCAATCATAAAGTGATACCACCTACTTAAGGAAACCATGGTATTATACTGCTGCTTAAAGTGTGTGTGGCTCATAGTTCTCCTTTAAGTCTTGGAACCTTGGGACATTCCCAAACTTTTCTAGTCCGGAAGAACAGATACCTGTGCTTTAAAAACTTGGAAAATGCAGTAGCTGAGTAGGATTTCTGCTGAAATTTAAGGATGGTGAGTGAGTGCAGAGGCACATAAAAATGGGATCTTTGCTGAAGTTAGTCTTTCTATAAGTGTCTATCCTTGATTAATAATGTTACTCATTGTTACGTAATCAAATTAAAATGCAAACAATATTCTGTTTGCTTTGGGCTATCTATCTAGGCCAATGACTGACTTCAAACATACATGTAAACTCTACATTACAGCAGTCTGTGTAATCTTTGCTCACACCCATAATGCTAGTGCAGAAAAGGGGAGGGGAAGAAAAGGAAAGGCGAAACTATATAAAAGAAGATAATCTCAGCAATAAAAACACAAGGGAATTGACTTTAGAGCAACACCAAAAGAAAAGTGGAGAAACTGAATTCAAAAGCAATGTACTATAGCCAGAGGTGTCAGAAGTAATATCATTTGACTCAGGCTTGACAATTTAGTGCAGTGGTAACTCTCCTCTAAACTTACTGTCTTTGTACATTTCTCAGTGCAATCCTATTCTTTTGTTCTATTATAGGAGCTGTATGTGCGTCAGTATGTCTCTTTCTCTTTAGTTACTTTTATGGTTATGACTAGTGTGTAATGTATTTTTCTCAGTGTTCCACCTGTAATGATCCCGTCTCCCACCAACCCTACAGTGTAAACGAGATGTGACATCACTGCAACGTGGCCATGTTTAACTTGAAATATCATAGAAAAGACAACACACTTCAGCCTTCTGTTATACCTTATTCTTGCAGCTGAAAATCAGGTGAGGAATCACAGTCATGACCTCTGCAAAATACTTTTAAAATAAAGTTATATTTATCATAAAGAAGATAAGTATGTTTCTGTCATTTTTAAATAGCTCAATACAATACCTATAAGCTTTTTATGGTAGTGTTTAACTTTCTTTAAAAATTAAAGGCTTAAATAATTAAAAAAAAAAAAAAAAAGGTATTGAAACAATAATCAAAGACAGCTGCAAGCTTGTTCTTTCTCTAAAACATGAAAGGGAAAGAGTGACTGCAATAGTATAAGAAAGAATCTCACCAGTTTCTTAGGAGAAATTTCATGCCAGCACCACTTCGCATTCCAGAATGATGTAAATGGAACACAGTGAGGATGGAAAACCAAACTTTAACATAGAATAAAAGTACAGGGACTGCAGTAGAGTGCCACCTCACCCACAGCAATTGCAGAGAACGAGAGCTGATTAATGTAAATGAATAACTGCTGTGATCCACACTGACTGCTCTTAAAGCAAGTTGTTTGGTTCAGCTGTGTATAAAGTAACTATACACTGCCCTGTTTCTGTACCAGTGGCTAATTCTGATACTGTCCTTATGTGCGTGGTTTAAGAAAGGGAATGAAATATCCTTTCATTTACCTTCCTCCACAAAGCAACTACTACTATTACAAATAAAAAAGTATTTCTTAACACAATGATCATAAATATATTTAAAAGGAAGAGTTAATATTCTAACAAACTGAGACAGAGGATAAAATATGGTTCAGCTGTGGCCATTCAACACTTTCTCATGGTTCATGACCCTATTACTCTGCTATTCTACCTTAACTTGCAATTCCACTATTTTAGATCAGCAACATGCAGATAGTAGTGCTTTTCCTTATAGCTTTCCTTTTGAACAACCCACCCCAACAACAATTAAAAAATCTACTCTAGACTACAACCAGTAAGAGTGGGTAGCAGAACAGCATAGTTCTTCAGACATGTGCCAAAGTAATTTATTTATTTATTTTTGAAATGTAATATAATTAATGTAAATGTTGGGATAATCTTGAATCAACGTTCTGTATAATTTATCATAGTTTTTTTCTTTCTTCTGACTAGGCAACTCTGACTTTGGTAGAGAAATCTTTATAAAGTTAATTCTAAACTCCATTAGTACTTGTGTATCAAATTGTATTTAATAATATTTAATAAATTAAATTATTTAATTATATTGTATTAAATGATTTAATATTTAATAAATTAATTTAATAAAGGAGGCTGTAGTGAGGTGGGGATTAGTCTATTCTTCCATGTGCCTGGTGACAGGACGAGGGGGAATGGGCTAAAGTTGCACTGGGGTGGGGGGGGTAGGTTGGATATTAGGAACAACTTCTTTACAGAAAGGGTTGTTAGGCATTGGAAAGGGCTGCCCAGGTAAGTGGTTGAGTCACCATCCCTGGATGTCTTTAAAAGACATTTAGATGTAGAGCTTAGTGATATGGTTTAGTGGAGGACTATTAGTGGCCAGAGGTTGGACTAGGTGATCTTGGAGGTCTCTTCCAACCTAGACAATTTTGTGATTCTGTGATTTCTATTGCTGTTTGTTTTTAAGATGCTATTTACTTTTCATATCAAGACTTTGAATCTCCATAAAAAATCTCACAAGTATTATCAAAAAACATGTGTCTAAGGCAAACATTTTGGAAGAAGTTAACTTTGTGCCAACTCCCTTAAGTATTAACCTGAATATATCTCTTTGCTAAAGAAGCTTGAGCAGGTTCTTCTGCCTTTCACTGCTTGCAGTTTCAAGAAGAAGGAATTAAAGTCTTCTGTACCATAAATACAGCTGTACTGATGATATTTAAATTACTTACATTACTAATAACAGTCTGCATTTGTGCAGATGAGCTAAGTCTTCCTCTCTTCAGATTTTGAAACACTTACCTGATCCTGCTACATTTTCCTTTGGCTCCATTTCTTATGTATACTACATGTACTTCTTGGATTCCTGTTTATAATTTTATATAGTGGTGGATGAGAAGAGAGAACACATGAAAGAAATAATCAGTTTTATCTTCATTAGTTATTCTTGAAATTCTCTCTGTTTGTTGTTGTTGTTTGTTTGTTGGTTTAAATATTAACAGTACAATTCTGTTTTTCTGAAATCCACTCTGATCCTCTGTAGAAATTTCTGCTTACTACTTTAGTGCTATTCTTTATTTTTCAAGATTTAATGTTACCCACATGCTTTATTTCTTTAGGCAGAAGATTTCAAGATTTTTTTTATCTATTTTATAAATATACATATACATTTGTACACACATGATTTTGGGTATTTTCAAGATAAAATATTTTCTGTTTAAACAAGGAGACTCCTTTCAGCAGAAATCAAACATAATTACAGTCTCCACACCTTCCAAAAGAGAAATTATTGCACCCAAATCACTACTATCCTCTTCAGCTTACCATAATAGAAACTGCTAAGGAAAACAAAACAAAACAAAAAAAAAAAAAAACCAAAAAACACTTCTACACTTCTCAAAGACCTGAAGAACTGATTTTTCATAGGCAAGCAACCCATTCTCCAGTTCTTCCCAGGCAGAGTAAAAGTAGACATAGCAGGTGCATGCAATACTTGATTATGAAGGAGTGAGTTAACATCACTGAACGCAATGACAGCACGGAATTTCTCATTCTGAGTTTTTTGCCTGACTTGGGCAGCACAAGGAGTAATTCTAAATATGAGTTTAGATTTAGTACTTATTCTGTGCCTGACTCATTCAGTGTGATTTTAGTAACAAAAAGGCTGTGGAGTTTGTGGAACAATGTTTTCTTGTGCACTGAACTAAGGGAGCTGATCATTGTTTTAGCCATGTGATAATCCTTTTGAAGGCAATTTTTATTAGGACAAATACTTTATTTGTTGTTTTTGTCTGAAAGGCAGAACTGACTAGTAAATTCACAGTACTATAGTTTGAGAGCAAACAGAGGTAACCGAGACTACAGTATGATAAATTCAGCAATTCCCTGTGTAAATATTTATTATAAGCACTGATAAGAAATGTTATGCTATTGTCATAGACATTGACTTCCATCTATTCTAGCTTCTGTTAAGAACTTACCTATTATAAAAGAGAAAAATAATTCTGTTAGAAAACAGAACAATGAGGAAATATTTTAATAAAATGCAGCTCTGTCATCTAATTGGTCAATGCAAGGCACATGTATGAGGAAATATAAGTGGTATTGAATTATCAACTCCAATATTCGTATACGATTCTTTTAAGAGAAGCTTGAATCCTTCTCTGAGTTGACAGATGTTTGTGGGATTTTGAAAATGCTTTAGAGATCTGTCCAAGCAAGTGGTCTTGTGTGATCACAGCTTGATCTTTAAGAGTTAAGTACGCGGTTCACTTCTACACATCAGTTATTTCCAAAATTAGTGCAATGAAAAATGTGTATATTCAACTAATATGATTACAACATTTTGACACAGGTGGTGGAAAAGCTAAGAAGGAGAGGTGTGCTGCTGGTCCCTGTAATGAGGAAGGACTAGTTGGAGATGTGAGTGCCAGGGTCAGCCTTGGCTGCAGTGACCATGATAAGGTAGAGTTCAGGTTCTTGTGAGGAGGCAAAAAGTAGGATTGTGACTCTGGATTTAAGGAGAGCAACCTTTGTCCTCTTCAGGGATCTACTTGTAAAAAAATCCATGGGTTAGGGCCCTGGAAAGAAGGGGGGTCCAAGACAGCTGGTCAGTATTCGAGTATCACTCCAAGCTCAAGATAATGCATCCCTATGAGGAAGAAGGCAAGCAAAGGGAGCAGGAGTCCTGTATCAATGAGCAGGGAGCTCTTGGTGAAGCTCAGGCAGAAGGAAGTTTACAGCATGTGGAAAAAGGGACAGGCCACTTGGAAGGAATATAGGGACACTGTCAGAGTATGCAGGGATGTGACAAGAAAGCCCATCTGGAATTAAATCTGGCAATGGATATCAAGGACAACAAGAAGAGTTTTTTCAAATACATCAGTAGAAAAAGAGAGACTGGAGAAAATGTCATTCTGCTGCTGAATGGAGAGGGTGCCCTGGTGAGAAAGGATATAGAAAAGGCAGAGTTGCTGAATGCCTTTTTTGCTTCAGTCTTTACAGCCAATATCACCCTTCAGGAATCTCAGACCCTGGAGACAAGAGAGGAAGTCTGGAGAAAAGAGGACTTTCCCTTGGTCGAAGAGGATCTTAGAGATCATCTAAGCAAACCTGACATCCACAAATCCATGGACCCCAATGGAATGTACCCACAGGTGCTGAGGGAGCTGGCCAACTCTCCATCATTTTTGAAAGGTTGTGGAGGACAGAAAGGTGTCTAAGGACTGGAAGAGAACCAATATCATGCCAGACTTCAGAAAGGGCAAGGAGGACCCAGGCTACAGGACAGTAGCCTCACCTCCATCCCTGAAAAGGTGATGGAACAGCTTACCCTGGTGGTCATCTCCAAACATGTGGAGGATAAGAAGGTGATCAGGGATAGTCAGCATGAATTCACTAAGGGGAAGTCGTGTTTAACCAATCTGATATCCTTTTAGGATGAGATGACTTGCTGGGTAGGTGAGGGGAGAGCTGTGGATGTGGTCTACCTTGACATCAGCAAGACTTCTGACACTGTCTCCCATAACATCCTCATAGACAAGCTCAGGAAGTGCAGCCTAGATGACTGGACAGTGAGGTGGATTGGAAAATGACCGGATGGCAGAGTCCAGTCCCGACAAGTCTCGGCAAGTCAAGTCTTGACAAGTCTCAGAGTGTTGTGCTTAATGGTACAGAATTTATTTGGAGGCCTGTAGCTAGCAGTATCCCAAAGGTGTCAGTACTGGGTCCAGTGTTGTTCAGCTAATGTATTAATGACATGGACAATGGAATGGAGTGCACCCTCAGCAAGTTTGGTGACAACACAAAACTTGGAGGAGTGGCTGATGCACCAAAAGGCTGTGCTGCCTTTCAGAGGTACCTTGACAGGCTGGAGAGATGGACCAAGAGAAACCTTGTGAAGTTCTACAACGGCAAGTGCAGGGTCCTGCATCTAGAGGGGAATAACCCCAAGCACCACTAAAGGCTGAGGGGTGACCTTCTGGAGAGCAGATCTGCAGACAGGGACCTGGGAGTCCTGGTGGACAGCAAGCTGACCATGAGTCAGCAGCACTGTGCCCTAGTGGCCAAGAAAGCCAACGGTATCCTGGGGTGCACTCGGAAGAATGTTGCCAGCAGGTCAAGGGAGGTGATCCTTCCCATCTACTCAGCCCTGCTGAGGCCACACCTAGAGTATTGTGTCCAGTTCTGGGCTCCCCAGTGCAAGAGGGATATGGAACTACTGGACTGAGTCCAGAGGAGGGCTACGAAGATGATTAGAGGATGAGAACACATGATGTATGATATGAAGACAGGCTGAGAAGAATGAAAGGAAAATCATCAATGTACATAAATATCTGAGGAGAAGGTGTTCTGAGGTGTACTGGGTCTGACTGAAATGTTAACTTTCCCTGCAGCAGCCCATACAGTGCAGTGCTCTGCACTTGTAGCTAGAACAGCAGTGGCATCACACCGGTGTTGTGTCTTCTGCTGAGCAGTGCTGGCACAGCATCAGGACTCTCTCTAACTCTCCTAAGGGGTGGGCAAAAAAGCAAGAAAGGAACATCATCAGGGCAACTGACCTAAACCAACCAAAGAGATATTCCATACCATATGATGTCACACTCAGCAACAAAAGGTGGAAAAAGGAAGAAGAGGGGAAGGGTGGGCTCTCATTGTGAAAATCTCGGTCCTCCTCCCAAACACTGGCTACGTGCGTTGAGGCCCTGCTTCAAGGATGTGGTCAAGTATCACTCATTTGTGGAGAGTAGAGAGTAATTTCTTTCCTCTGCACTTCCACACAGCCTTTACTTGTTTTTGTTTGTTTCTTTTATTTTGTTTTTTCTATTTACCCCTCCCTTTTCACCTTTCCTTCCCCCCCCCTTTAATTAAATTGTTTAGTTAATAATAATATTTCCTTAATAATTATTTATTTTTTTCCCTTTAATTAAATTATCTTTATCTCAACCTGTGAGTTGTTCTTTCCTTTACTTCTTCCTCTCCTCATTTAAGCAGGGGGAGTGAGAGAGTGGTTGTGGTGTTTAGTTGCCTAACACAGCAAAAACACCACATAAGGATGGAACCAGTCTCTTTTCAGGGCACAAACCAAAGCACAGGAAGCTCTAGCTGAATATGAGGGGGCTCTTTTTTATTGTGAGGGTGACAGAGCACTGGAACAGGTTGCCCAGAGAGGCTGTGCAGTCTCCTTCTTCTCTGGAGATATTCAAAACCCATCTGGATGCCATTGTGCTCTAGGTGATCCTTCATGGCAGAGGGGTTGGACTAGATTATCTTCAGATGTTCCTTTCAACCTCGTCCATTCTGGGATTCTGTAATATTACCTATTACTGTTTTAGAAAATTATACTGGAAAGCAAAAGTCTGCACTATCTATGTGTTTCCTATGTGAATCCCACTGACTCTGAAGGGTCTCAGAGTACAATAAAACCTCTACGTGAATAAATATGCTGCATCTTTTTTGCATTTCTGACAAAATATCACCTATAATTTCACTAAAACATGGCTTGAATCAAACTGAACATTTACACAAGAAATGACATTTTATAAAATATATTTCTTTTTCTCTTTGGCAGAATTGTTGGACTCTTATGACACCATTGCCAATGAGCACATTTAACAGCATCTACAAATGTCTGTGATATTAGAATTATGGACACCTATTTTTATGATTCCACAGTGATCTGCCATTGTTACACAAGTTTTCTTTTGTTTGTTTTTTGTTTGTTTGTTTTTAATTTTATTCCAATTTCCTTCATTGTTTAGTGAGAAACATAATCAGATTTTTATAATCAATAACACAAATGTTATTTTAACAACATTGGGACGGGGGTCATAGACTTGATATTGTGACTATGTATTCTCTAGGATTCCTAACTGAATGTGTTTGGAAAAGTGATTTCTTGAGTTTTTGCTTTAAGGTACACAATTCCCTTTCTGCAGAATGCTGCTGTATTTCTTCTGCTTGCAAATAATAGCATATAAAACCTGAGGCCAAGCAATGAAGTAGCAGTCTAAAAGGTTAAGGACCCTTTGATCAGGGTATTAAAGACTCTGTTCACAGATGAAATGTTGTGCTTCCAAAGTTTTATGTTAAAAGTTAATATGCTTAAGATAATCAATCTCAGCTGCACTAGACCTTCAGTAATTTTGTTTCTATCATCAAACAAGCCTTATGGGGTTGAATATAGTGGTAGTTCATAATGAAGCACTTCATATAGAAGCAGCTGTCTCCTCACCTGTTTCCCAGCCCATCTAGAGGCCTGGAGAAATTCTTCAATTTAGCAAGCAAACTTAAGTCATTATTAGAAATGACAGGGAAACCTGATGAAATTGTACTTTCAATTGGAAAACAAAATTGCAATCAGACCAACATGATTTCCTCATGGTCTGACCATGCTAATGCCAAGTTGAGACATGGGCAAATGTATTTAAAAGTCATAATGGAGTATTACCATGCAATCTCTTTTTACTGGCCCTTATTAATATAAAACTTCAATTTGCATGTAAATGCAGTCAACTTTCATATCATCAAAATACATGAAGCCTGGGAAAGTAATGAATTGAAGTTTGATGCAGCAATTACTGACGTTTATAAAGAATTTTAAAGAGGTCATTCTAGTCTTGGCTGAGAAAATGAGGAAATCAACAGGGAATATTGTCAATATAGCAACAGTGGGAGTTGGAGTCAGTCCCAGGTGTTAGAAGGCCAGATGATGATTAATAGAGAGGGAGTATGAAGCCTTTCACCCAGAAGGACTGGGCTGGACCTGGGGCTCAATAACAGAGCTCTCATGAAAAGGTTCTTGCTGGGTTCCCACTTTAGCTGCCTCGAAATGTGTTCCAGAGGGAATAAAGTAGCAAGTGTTTATGAGAAGAGCAGTGCTGAAGGTTTAATTGGGCTCCACATCCTTTCAGCTCCCACCAGTAGTTGATATGCAGTTTAACCTTTTTTTCCCCACCTCAAATACCCCAGTGCCACTGGGATTTTAATAAGGCAGTATCTTGATAGCTTGGAAAAATACTGGCTTCTTTGCTAAATTGAGTTAAACTACCTTATTGTGTAATAAAGACAATTTGTACATCTCTTGATTTGAAAATTTTGCAAACAAACAAACAATAAAAGCCTAGAAAATCTTTTCATCTTCCTCAAACATTTTTAAAATCTAAAAAATAGTGTTGTTTTCTTTTTCCTTTTTTTTTCTGCTTTTTCTGTTCACAGAAAAATTTCAGATGGAGAAAAAATATAAATAAGTAAAAAACTCAATTCAGAAATGAGAACAGAGCTATGCACTTCTTGTACTTCTTTTAAAAGCAGAGCTCACTTCTATAAGGAAAAAGCATTCAAAAGAGTGGACCTGGTCCTGTGGTGTGGAGGAGTCAGAACAGTGAGAAATTTTGATAGACAACACATTAATGACTGGACTGATGGATTCTGCAACATTTTGCACTTTGATCTAATTGCTTACACAAGTCTGCAAATGAAACATTTGCAAGAAGCTGTCTTCCTAAACCAGTAGTTCTTTATACACACCTAATAAAGGTGTCAGCAATTACACAAAAAGCTCAATAAAGCAAAGGATCAGGCCTGAGGTTTTTATTGCTGGCTCAGGCTGGCACATGTTGTGTCAGGTGACAGCAAACTGATTTTAGCATGCTGTGGCTTAGTTTTCTTATCTACAAGTAGAAATCTATAATTTGTTTGTATTCATAAGATTGGGGATGAAGTTTAATTTATAAAAACTTAAGTGATTTGGGATCTTCAGATGGAAAGCAATAAATACATGTATGTTTCTAATTTATTTGTGTTATTATTATTATTATTATTTCTTCATGTTCTAATTAAAAGCAAACCACATAGATGGTAAACTGTTTCTTCTGCACAAATAAAATCAAGGTCATTGGTAAGGATCAAATAAAAATAAATAATGGAATAAAAATCAATTCATGTGCTGAGCAAGATTAATTTGATTTCTCTTAATTCCTTCTACTCCTGTTTTATCCTTTTGTTTTCAAAACCTAATTTTCAGTTACACTATTTCAAATAAATCTCCAGATCAGTTAAACATTTTAGATTACATTAATTAAACTAAGAAGATAAGCAACTAAATTCGAGATGTGTTGAATGTTAGATTATTCGGAAATGTACAGAATAAGCTTCAATGAAATTTAAGAAACAATACTCAAACAACCTGATCAGAAGTTTGAAATGCTATTATGAGAAGTATTTATTATGATCGCTTCCATTTTCTACATGTATTCCACAGAAATGCATTTTTGGCTCCATAGCTCAAGTAAATGTTTGAAAATGTTCACTGACAAACTGAAATCCTCAGAGCAGAGCATCTTTGCCAGGCTTGTAGACAGACTATTTTCCCAAGGGACAGCATGGTAAATCAATGTTTATATTTCTATAACCCTTGAGACTCCTTGGTCTAAGCATTTGTAACTCTCACTAATGTGTATGGTGAGTGATGAAGGGACTGCTGTTATTACAAAAAGGAAGGCTGAAAAACATTGAAGATGCAACAGTTATGGTCTGATACAATATTTTCATTTCCTAATCACTTTCCTGATATACTTACGCGATCCAATCTTTATTTGGGGGAAAGTATAATTTTTCAATAGGCCTGAAAACAAGAGTAAATAATGAAGAAAAATAAAAATATCAACAAGAGTACAGGAGAGGTATTATATTTATTCTGAATCTCTACATAAACTTTAGAATTTATCTTATTACTTCAGAAATGAAGGGTTACTTTATGTTTTTAAAAGAATGAACAATCATTATCAACATTAATGTAGTTGGATCTTCATTACCTGCTGTTTTCTTCAGTGTTCAACACTGTGAACAGTTAAGAACATTTAATCTTGGTAAACAAAGCAAAAAAAAAAAATAGTTTGCTTGTTTGTTTTAGGGACAATAATACAGTTTTATAATTGTATGTTTTATAATTGTATGTTCTTGACAAGCGGGTAGATAAGGTACTAAAGATCATGCCTACCAGAAGTCTGAATCACTGACTCATATTAGACAACTAATAAACTAGCCTGGTGGACAAAATGAGTTCTGGAAAGCTAGAAAAACATATATATATATATATATTTGCTTTATCTGGCAAGATATTTCAGCAATAAACACATTGCACATACAAACATATTTTTGAGAAGTAACCGTAGTATAGGAAAAATTGCCAGACATTAAAAGAGTTTTTTCTACATTTAGAGAATGTTCCTTCCAAATGGACTTGTTGGCAGACCACAGCTTCCACAGATAACAAAAGTCATTAAAAAATTATATATAAAATGTAGGAAATAGCACGTAGGAATCAAACATTTAGGAAAGCAGTAACTTTATGACAAAAACACTGACTCCACATCAGAGGAAAAACTGCATTAAGTCCATAGGAATAATTTAGAAAAAAGCCCTTAACACTAACTGTTTCAGTATACAAATCTGCTCTTAAAATCCTCAGTGAATGCTATGCTACATACCACCAGAGATACTGGGGTTGTTATCTCCTTAGCTAAAAAATAGTACGTGTCATATTTCACATTTCCCAAAACAACACTTGCCACTAGTTCCAGTAGACCACGACTGTATCTCTAGTTCTAAATGGGTCACTGAACAAAATAAATGTTTTGGAGCCATAAAATGACAAGAGAAAATACAATGGTAGGAAATTATAGTGGGAAGAAACAGACAGAAATTTCTAGTCATTGATTGAGTTATTTATTCATTCATATACTCAGTCAATAGACAGGAATGGAACTAAACCCAGTTAATGGGGACCAGAAATGTATGTATGAGCTTACCCATTACCCTAGCCTTTATAAATGATCTCAATATTATCTGCATGACTAAAGCATGATTTGGTTATAGCTAAACTTTTTGTTTTATTAGGGATATTAAGAAGAACTAAGTACCTCCCATTCCCTCTCCATTCATTTTTAAATCACAAGAGAGTTTAGGTGCCTCATCCATAGTCTATCCGTTTGATTAGAGTCCATCTGAGCACAAATGAGCCTCCAGAATACAAAAATAACATTAAAACAATGAGGAAAAGGCTGTTCATGTAGTCTACCTAGACTTCAGCAAGGCCTTTGACACAGTGTCCCACAGTATTCACATGGAGAAGCTGGCAGCTCAAGGTTTTGAAAAGGCCTACAATTTGCTGGGTTAAAAACTGGCTGGATGGTCAGGCCTGGAGATTAGTGCTGAATGGAGTGAAATCCATCTGGCAAAGGGTCACAAGTGGTGTTCCATCCTCTTTAATATCTTTACTGATGATTTGGATGAGGGAATTGAGTGCATCCTAAGTAAATTTGCAGACAACACCAAATTGGAGGGAAGTGTCAATTTGATGGAGGGTAGAAAGGCACTGCAGAGGGACCTGGACAGGATGGGTTGATGGACAGAGGTCAAAGGGATGAGATTCAATGTGGCTCAGTGCCAGGTCCTGCACTTTGGTCACAAAAACCTCATGCAGCACTACAGATTTGGAACAGAGTGGCTGGAAAGTTGTGCAGAAGAAAAGGATTTGATAGTGTTGTGTGATGCTTGCCTAAACATGAGCTGGAAGTATGCCTGGGTGGCCAAGAAGTCCAGCGGCATCATGGCTTGTATCAGGAATACTGCAGCCAGCAGGACCAGGAGGTGATCAACCTCCTGCACTCTGTTCTGATGAGTCTGCACTTCGAGTACTGTGTTCAGTTTGGGGCCCCTCACTACAAGAAGGACATCAAGGACCTGGAGCATGTCCAGAGAAGGGTTACGAAGCTGGTGAAGGGCCTGGAACACAAGTCCTGTGAGGAGCAGCTAAGGGAACTGGGGTTGTTTAGTCTGTAGAAGAGGAGGCTCAGGGGAGACGTTATTGGTCTCTACAGCTACCTGAAAGGAAGTTGTGGGGAGCTGGGTGTTGGCCTCTTCTTGCAGATAACAAGTGATAGGACTAGAGGAAATGGCCTCAACTTGCACTAGGGGAGGTTTAGGTTGGAAATTAGGAGGCATTTCCTCTCAGAAAGAGCAGTCAGGCATTGGAATGGTTTGCCCAGGGAGGTGGTGGTGTCAACATCCCTGGAGGTGCTTAAGAAAAGGTTGAATGTGGTACTTAGGGACATGGTTTAGGAGGTGATATTGGTAGTAGGGTCATGGTTGGACCAGATATCTTGAATATTTCTTCAAACCTTTATGATTCTATGATTCTAAGTTTGGCTCCATCGTAGAACAGTCTTAGGACTTATCTAAACAAGTGTTTTTGGGAATTTCTCACTGCTCAAAAACCACTATGTTAGATCAGGTGGTTTGAAACCCTCCCTGAGATTCAGACTCCTAAGTATCTGTAATTCAGAAAACAGAGTCCAAAAACATCAGAAAAACAAACAAACAAAAAGCATCTTCAATATGGAAATCACCCTTTATTTAAAATGTTAAAACTTATACAGATATAGATGATCTCCTGTAGTCCAGCGGCACAAAAGCTCAAATAGTCTAAATGTTTGGGGGTAACATATATAACTACATCTCCAAAGTTCTAGAGGAAAATTTTCATCACAAGATGAAGAAGAAAATCAAAAACAGTTGTTACTCAGGCCCACCAGCAGATGATATGTTTGTTTCCAATCATATACAGTTTATCTTAATCGTCTGTCCTAAGTGCCATCACAAGAAAAAAAAAATAAAAATGAAGGGCACTAGAAGGAAGAATTTTGTTATACACACACAAACAAAAGACAAAACTAGTACAGAGGAAGGATGTCTAGACAAGTCTATCCCCAGGCAAACTTCTGAACATATTTTATAGAATCATAGCATATTTTATAGAATCATAGAATATCCCGAGTTGGAAGGGACCCATAAGGATCATCTAGTCTAACTCCTGGCACGACATAGGTCTATCCAAAATTTTAGACCATGTGACTAAGTGCACAGTCCAATTACTTCTTAAATCCAGACAGGCTTGGTGCAGTGACTACTTCCCTGGGGAGCCTGTTCCAGTGTGCAACAACCCTCTCAGTGAAGAACCTCTTCCTGATGTCTAGCCTAAACCTCCCCGCCTCAGTTTGACACCATTCCTGTGGGTCCTATCACTGGTGACTAAGGATCGGCACCTTCCCCTCCACTC